TAACAAAGGAATCTAATACATGAAGCTGAAAGAGATAAAACCATGGAAATTGATTCAAATAAAACATGATATGATCGTATAAAAAAATTGTAATTATTCAAAGTTAAATTAACGGTAATATTTTTACAATTATTTTTTTCAATATTTTTTTTCCTCTTTTTTTATCATTATAAATCTACCTTTAAATGATTATGATTTTTTTTTATATAATCATATCATGTTTTATTTAATATATTTTATTTAACATAAAAGGATACACTTCCTGAAACGAGTCTAACAGAAAAACTATCAGAATAACCAATTCATCTAACAAACTAATTTCCTTCTGTTAATATGTTGTAATTAGTTGGTTGAATAAAGACTCCATCTGACGTGGCTTTGGGAAAATTTGATTGAGATGCAGTTTTGCTTTCCGAAGTATTCTTTGGGCCAGACTTAGTTGTTGGGCTTGAATCTGGACCAAATTGTGTTACTATGTACTTTTTAAAAAGTTCAAAAAATAGATCTTTGTAATTTTAAATTTATAATTAAATCTGGATAGTTCTAATCTTTTTAATTATATTTTTATAAATCTTTGATGATAAAACAAATTAAAAAATTTAATAGCTCAAATATAAATTCTAAATTATAAGAACATATTTAAAAAACTTCTAAGAATATGCCAGGTTTCAAATTAGAGTACTGTTATTTCCAAAATAAAAAAATAAAAATTACTGTTAAATAGTAACTCAATGACTGAAAGAAATTTTGTTTTATTCTAATCTGCGTAAGACGCATTAGTATTTATATTGCTCTTTTTACTTGGCAAACTCTCTTTTCTTCTTGGGTGAATGAATATTGGAATAAAATGCTCACAAAATCAAAATGAAGACTGAAGATTGAACCATGATCGACGGGGATAGGCTTAGCCTATGCTAACTCATTACGGTTAAAAAAACCGTAATGAGATATATAGGACGTGGCTTTAAAACTATCTACTTAAAATGCAATTCATTATGGCTTAACTAACGCAATCAAACAAGTGTTGGTGATCTTTTTATAAAGAGTTCGAGATATGAAAGAAATTGAGTAAAAGAGGTAATTTATTAATCTAAATGTCAATAAGAAAATACACCTAAAGGGATATTTATAATCCAAGAGTGAGGAATTTAAAACTAAACAAATCCATACTTATAAAATACAAGACTCTTATAATCTCATCTTAATCCAAATGATAAGTGCAAATCCAAGTCATGATAAATAATAATTGGACATTCACTTTTCATAACAATCCTCCATGTCTCGTTAAAATCCTCTAAGATATCAAAGAATGTGCTCATTTCCATTCCAATATCTTCAGCTCACAGAAGAACTACATCTTGTTAACAAACTACTAGAAAATACTTTATTAAGTCAGCAATATGCATAAGTGCTTCAATAGTACAAAAACTTATTTGTTAATTTTCTTGAGGCCGTAAATGACTCTTTGTTAGTTAGAGAACATGGAAAGTCTAAATCAGGAGAACTAAAACAGCAAGATAGTTGGTTAGTTAGAGGGGGTCCAATTGATGGTTAGAAGGTTAGGTAACTATATAAACGGAACTGAGACTTGCTTAGTGGAATAAGGGAATTATCCCTTGTAAGAGGATTGTTCCTCCGGTAAACATCTTCACTCTGAATATAGAATAACAAATTCCCTCTCTTTTTCCCTTGCTCTAATCCCATCTTCTCTCTATTCTCGTAAGAAATCTTCAAATCACAATCGAAGCACATGACAACGATCTAACAACCATTAGTGTACGCAATTGATGTAATTTATCCATATAAAATCATTTAAAGACTTTTTTTGTATAACTTGACTAATGGACAAACAAGGTGTACCGCGGGAGTACATAGACTGTGTCCCATGGAAGGTGAAGTATGTTAATATAGGGATGCTCATAGTGGCAATGGTAGAGACCAAAGCACTGTAGAGGCTTCCAATGGTGTGCATAAGGGGGGATGTATGGCAAAGATGCCTCTGCAGAGGAGCAGAGTGACAGCATAGGTAAAGAGTGGAGAAGATCCTTCCCCCTCCATGTGTGAGGGGGATATTTAGAGAGGAGAACCCTCTCCAACATGGGAGAGACCGTTGGTCAGTTCCATGAACTGTCTCATCAAGCCATGTTTTGTCCTGAGACAAGGCATGTTGCCCATTGTCAGTGTACAGGGATAACAGCGCAGGGAAGAGAAATGTCCGAGTGATGAGCCTCTATAGCTTGCCATGGGTGCCTTCTAGAAGGCTTTAGATGTGGGCTTTAAGAGATTGAATCCAACTGGTGGGCCTAAGGTAAGTATCCAAAACACAAGGTATCACAAAAAAACACGTTCATACCATTTAACATTTGGTGTCTGATGGAAGCAAACAACGTTTTTAACTTACTTACCACCCAACAGGAGAAACACTGACTTGCAATAATCTTAAAAGTCATTGGTGATTACCGCAGAATTTCTAGTAAATGAATCCCATTTGCTCATAAAATATTGGATATGTGCCCTGGCAACAGGCAGCATAGGAAAGTTAAAAACAAAAATGCAATGATATATATATATTGTGTTAATTACCAAAATCCAGTTTCACATATCTGAACACGTGTGACAAATTTCTCAATGCAGTCACTAATTTTTTTCCCCAGACTAACATGAGGTAGACTGTTTACCATATTGTTCCATCTTATTACCTTGCAGCCATCCTCACTGAAATCAGTGGTAGTTCATGAAGAACATTAAAGACATGAAAATTAAATTCCAAGATAACAAGAATCTAACTTTGAAGAACATAAAGAGTGTGGAAGTTAACAGGAAATACCTGCGTGGTTGGATGATTGATAACTATTATAAAAGGGTATTCTCAGCTATGAGCAAGTATTTAAAACTTTGCAACCTGTGTCTAAATTTGGCAATAGCCCCAGATAAATATGGATGATATATCTTACAAGCATGAGTGCGTGAGTAAGAGTTCATTCATGATTTAAGGGATCAAGGCAGTCACAAAGATAATGCCTAAAATGCATATAAGATTAATAACATTTTAAAAAAACTCTCTGCAGAGCAAAAATAATAGAGAAATATGCAAAGAATTTATCTAAGTATCAACAAAGGCCTGCAAGAGTATTACCGCTTGTGTTGGACACACAAAACAACAGTAAAAGCCGAGAAAATCCAGAAGTGCAGTTATTTCACCTAACTAATTAGCCACAAGTATAAAATACTGAATTTCATCAAATACTAGCTACTTTTTCACCAAAATCATAGTACTTCAAATCCACATGGAGTCTATAAGGTTTTGCAGATTGCAAATAATCTGTTTTCATCTACATCCTCCACCCCACCCCCTCACTGTAAATAATTCATGTCAAATTATCAATAGTTGAAGATAGAATGATATAGCAAAATAGCAAAAGGATTAAAAGGGATGCATCGTCATCTATCACATTAACTTTGACAGAGTTTCCCTTCTTCAATGAAGGGAAATCACAATATATAATCTCCAAAGTGCATAACCATGATCTATCAAACTCAAAAGTGAGACATGTATGCAAAAGAAAACTAAGAAAGGAGTAAGAACAGCACAAGTAACTATGAAGTATGAAGTGGGGACAGGCGAACAGCATCTCTTACACATCTTTTATACATGGATTTCCTTCTTTCCTTTACACGAGAAAGAAAAATTAAACAAAGCATTCATGAAAATTTTTGGTCACACATCATGTTAGAAGACTAATATTGCAGAAAAATCATTTTATGGGCTAGCATGTGTGCTGCAAGCAGATATTATAACATTACTATCACAATGCTATTATTTAGTCACACAAATGGTATGAAAAGAATGATACAGTATAAACAAATAACTTAATGGCAGCAGTACATTTTTCTATTGTGTTTGCATATCGAAGATATTTTACATATGGGATTAGCAACTGAAATTAGAGCTGCATGTCTTACAAGAAATTACCATCGTCAATTAAGTTTATTCCTGGTGCACAATATGCATGACAGAATCATTCAACAAACAGGCTGCAGTATTAGAAAGACATAAATTCTTGGATTTGGCTGAGAGAGAGAATAAGAGGTCTACAGGTAATATCATAGAACAGCAGAGCTTCACATAGGGGAGTCATGAATCAGAGGTCATAATGAGCTGACAATATCTCATCAGGTTAATTAGCAGATGATTTTTGTAGAGACATCATTCACAAACCATGGCATTCATCTTCATATGGTAAACTAAAATGATATCTAGCCTCTGAGCACAAATCTCATGCCCAGTCTGTTAATTATAGGCATCGGAGTAGGTGATTGAGTGATTCTACTAAGGGAAAGAATTGTCATATCCATGCCCTATGCAGGGTGTACAAAACAAGTATTGATCCCTCAGCCTGACGATAGTTTCATTATCTTAGATCCCTGAAACAAAATGATTTTTAAAAAGGAAAGCAAATTGGAATTCATTCTAATTCATTGATCTCTTTCTCTCCCCTGCACAATCTTCCTCTTCAACCCCATCTCTCCCCTGTTATTATCACACTTTTGGTTAAGAGTGTTTACTGGATCTTAGTTATTGGACATTACTAGTTTGCAATTCCTGCCTTACATATTTAATAAAATGAATTCTCAATGCAAAAAGATAAAAATATATAACAACCAGAAACTGTGAATAACGGGTATATACTACTGACAAAAATCTTCAATGAAGATGCTCTTGAATAACACATAAAACAAACTGTAGACCATATAGTTTTTATAACATGGATCATAAAATTAACACTTGATAGATATACAGCCAATTTGAAAAAAGAAAAATTGTCTTCGATCTGATCAAATGCACAGATATATTCAGGGTATGAATAATGGAGGAAACGATACAAACAAAAGGTCTAATCTTTAATCAAGGGTAATTCAATCACATCCTTGATAAATCAAAACTCACTAAAAGGTCTCTTCTGTTAGTATTCAACCGATGATGATGGATTTTCGCAACTCTACTCGTTCTTCCAAGCATACAAAATGTGCGAGAAACCAAGACCATGGAATTTGGTGTCAGAAAACCTCTGAGAGAAAGACCACTGCAATGCATTTGCATCAGAAAGGGGTTGATCAGCCCACAATTTTTCTTCAGAGAGGCATGTTCTGAACATAAAGACAACATTTCCAAGAGATGTACCAAAGAGCCAATTATAGACATCCCAGAAAACTTCCACTGCAAGGCCATCCACCAGGATGGTATGATTTCCCCTGAACTTCCACTTCAGCCTCTTCACCTGCATCACAGTTTTGCTGTCTATGCGAATTATAAGGCATGGATCACTCACATTGGAAGTGTCACATTCAATGACAAGATCGTGAACTTGACCATTGTCACAAAACACGGCCTTGTTACCAAACAACTTCTTACCAAAAACATGTTCTTTCTTGGCAACAAACACTGCATTATTAGAGTGTAATGGGACAGCATTGGACTTCTTGAAAGCCTCTTTCCTCAAATCTCCAAGTAGGAGAACCATTTGTCGATCTACAACTACTCCTACATAAAACCCCTCCAATGGTTCAGGCCCAACACCAAATCTAGCAGAAGAAAGGTCCCAGTACACATCAATCTTACAAGAATAAGCCTCTAAACTCTTACAACCCCTTCTCTTGGAGAACACCCATGGTTTGATATCTACCTTACACAGACACTGATTTGAAGAATCATCGATCCCAACGCTAAGCCCTTGCCCCATCAAACCCTTACTCCACGTGATGGTAATCAAGCAGGACCTACCTCTTATCCGGCATTGGTAAACGCAAATAACCAGATTCTGTGCAGTTTTACTGGCGTGTGAAGATGAAGAATCTGCAACCTGAACTGCATTTTCTCCAAAACAGGAAGGGAAGTCCTTCATTTTCCAAACACCAACTTCAACTCAATTCAATTTCCGACCTTTTTCAGAAAAGAAAAAAAAAAAAAAACAGATGGTGCTTGCTCAGTTTTGCAGGCAGAACAAAAGTACTCTCTCAGAACAAAGAAACAACACATGGATCAGAGATTGAAATACAAGAAATCTCAGACATGGTTGAAGAGATGGTATGATTTGTTATGAAGATGGGGTGTTAAGATTAGAATCCATGAACCTATCTATCTAACTTTATTAAGAGAAGAGCGGAATGTAAGGAGTAAAAATGGGTCAGAGAGAAGCAGACAAAAAAAGCAGTCTTGTTTCACTGTCAATGCCACTGCACTCCTAACAAATCTCCAAATTGGGTGTCTAAAACTCTATTATATGTCTATGATTTATGAGTGAAAAGAGTTAAAATGAGATGGTGACAGCCCAAACAAAACAAGGGAGGTCGAGGAAAGAGAAGGGGGGTAAGGGAAAAGGGAAAAGGGAAAAAGAAAAAGAAGGGGACAATGTGGAAGAAAATGGCAACTGGATTTTGCTGGAAGGCTGATTTGTGAGGGTTACTCTACACTGATTAAAGCTAGAGAGAAAACAAAAGCATCTTTTTTTATTTCCCCTCTGTTATGTGAACTTGTTTTTACCTGACAAGAACACTTGAACAAACAAGAGAGGAGCTTCTCATTTCTCTCAAGTAGCGTTGTTGATCATGGAAAATTCAAATAAATATTTATGAGTAAATGTAAAATCAAATGATCAATCAATGCAAGAAAACTCCATTTTTCTTTGCCATGTTTTTTAAAAGGGAATGAGTGATCGTCAGAGAATTCAGAAACGGTTCCTCGGAAGTGGAACCCACAAGCTCGTGTTAATGCAAGCACGTTCTCACAAATATGCTTCCATCCATGCGTAACATACCTCACACGTAATAATAATAATAATTATTATTATTATAAAAAAAATATTTATTCTTTTAAAAAATATAAAATTATGTCATTTTAATTAAAACTAGAATATTTTATGTTGAAAGAAAGAGATACAAAAAATCATGATTAGAGAAAGTGAGATTTTTTTTAATTTAAATATTAAATATTAAATAAAAATAGTCATTTTATTTTTAACTAAAATGACTATCCACATGACACATATTTTTTCTAATAATAATAGTATTCAGACACAACCTTTTTTTTCTGAAATTATTTTAACATTTTCTCCATCGTTGTTTCCGAAAATGGTTTTTTTAACTTACTTTTATCGCCTAATTTCACGTAAGTAATAGATATTTCAAAAAAATCAATTGCGACTCTTTTGGTTTGGATAGTAGAAAAATAAAATCAAAAAAAGATTAAAGATTAAAGAGGATAAAAAGCGCATATACGTATATATATGAGAAAAATATTTCTCAAACAGCTTGAGATAAGTTTATCTACGGTCACTCCAAAACTACGTCGTTTTATTTATTTATTTCCTTATATTAATTGATTCACCTTTGAATGGTTATGATTCTTTTTTCTCTCTTCTTTTATCACCATTGATCAATCTTTGTATGGTTATGATTTAGTAGCCGGAGATAAAGTTATCTCCGGCAACTTGAGAAACGATAAGTCATATATATATATATATATATATATATATATATATATATATATATATATATATATAGGAAAAATATTTCTCAAGTAGACTAAGATAAGTTTATCTCTAGCTATCCTAAAATTACGTCATTTTATTTATTTATTTATTTATTTATATTAATTGATTCACCTTTGAATGATTATGATTCATTTTTTCTCTCTCTTCCTTTGTATATAAGGTAAAATCATTTCTGCAGTCGTTTTACGTACAACAACAACATGTGTATGGTTATGATTCCCCACATTTAATGCTTTTATTCTTTGTATGATTATGATTCCCCGCATTTAATGCTTTCAAGTATATATATAGCAAGTATTTGATTGTTGCACGTACAGCAGCTGCAAAAATGTAAACCCCATATATATATATTGATTTTCGCCAACTAACGGTTATCATTTATTGAAATTAATAATTAATTAATGAGTTTGATTGGCAGAAATAATAATTGTTGATTGACAAAAATCAACGGTTAGAATTTTGTATCAAATTTCAAAGTTTGACACCGGTATCAAAAGATCATGCCTATATATATATATATATATATATATATATATATATATATATATGAGGTAGGATCCTTTGACACCAGTGACAAATTTAAAGTTTGACACCTCCTCTGAGAGCCGTTGGATCAAAAAAGATCAATGATATCACATGCTTACAAATCCGAGTCGTTGATCTTTTTTGATCCAATGGCTCTCAGATGAGGTGTCAAATTTTAAACTTGACACCGGTGTCAAAGGATCCTGCCTCTATATATATATATATATATATAGGGGAAGGATATTGTGACAACCAAGTTGTGTTACTACCAAGTGACTACCAATCAATCTTACCGTTAGATTATATTGATCCAACAGTAATATTTATTTCCATCTTTGTATGGTCATGATTCCACAAATTTAATACTTTATATTTATTTTCACCCTTGTATGGTTATGATTTCCCATATTTAATGCTTTTACTTTAAGTATGGGGAATCATAACCATACAAAGATAGAAATAAATATAACCGTTGGATCAACATAATCGATCTAACAGTGAGATTGATTGGTAGTCACTTGGTAGTAACACAACTTGGTTGCCACAATATCCTTCCCCATATATATGGGATAGGATATTGTTACTATCAAATAATGTTACTACCCATATCACTACTATGTCTTAATCGTTGATTTTTGTCAATCAACAATTATCATTTATTGCGAAATAATAATTAATTAATGAGTTTGATTGTGAAAATATATATATAGGGTTTGTATCTCTTTTGCACAGCTTTCTCTTCTCCCGCAGACCCAAAAAGATGGTAAGGCCCACCATGGTTTTTTAAAATAAATAAAGAGAAAAGTGTTTGTCATTTTAAATGACATAAAGTTATATCATTTTAAGAGTGAAATAGACACAAAATAATATTTTTTATTTAAAATTTAAATTAAAAAAAACCACTCACTTTCTCTCACATGATTTTCGTTTCTTGTGTCTATCTCTCTTCTAAAATGACATAACTTATGTCATTTAAAATGAATAAAATCAAACCAATGAATATAAAAAAAAGCATACACTTTTCTATCTCTTATCTCATCACCAATGAATGGTTGTGAATTGTGATCAAACAACATAGTCACATGACCATTTTTTCACATGAGATGATCCAAATCCAGTGAGTATATCATGCGAGGGGAACACTTCTGCAATAACCTCAGAAGCACGGACACGGGATTTTTTAAAAAATTTGCGTGTCGAAAACCGACAAGTTCCGACACGCGGTCAACATTTTGGGTCACACGATCAACTCTCCGACACGTTTTTCTGACACGCGGTCAACGCTCCGACATGTATCCAACACCTTTTTTTTTAGTCTTAATTTTATTTTATTAACTAAATATAAAAAAGTAATTTATAAATCAAATTTTTTCTGTTATGAAATTTGACATGAAAAATTAACAAAGTACGAAAAATTATTTTTGTTTATATTTATATTATAAAGTTTGAAAATTTGATTGGTTATATGACTTATTATGGACTGTTATATGTGTTAAGTATAAATTATATTATGTATATCAAAAAATTTATTTAATATCAAAACGTATCCCAACGTGTCAAAATATGACATTTTTTAGAATTAACTGTTGTGTCGTGTCCCGTATTAGTGTCGTGTCCCGTATTAGTGTCGGTGCATCATAGGCAATAACAACAGAAGTGTTTTTCCATATATATATAGAGATGTGGGATCTTTGGACACCAGTGTCAAATTTGAAGTTTGACATCTCATCTGAGAGCTATTAGATCAAAAAAGATCAATGGTGTCACATGGTTACAAATAAGAGTCGTTGATCTTTTTTGATCTAATGACTCTCAGATGAGATGTCAAATTTAAAATTTGACACTTGTATCAAAGGATCTTACCTCACACACACATACATATATATATACATATATATATAGGGGTTTACATTTCTGCAGCTGTTATACGTGCAATAATTAAATACTGGCCATATATATACTTGACAATATTAAATGCGGGGAATCATAACCATACAAAGGATGAAAGCATTAAATGTGGGAAATCATAACCATACAATTGTCGTTGTTGTGCGTAAAGCGGCTGCAGAAATAATTTTACCATATATATATATATATATGGGGCAGATTATATTTACAAACTTTTTTGTTTATAAACTCTTACAAACTACACTATCTTCTCCCGGTAGAACATAGTGCAATTTGCAAAAATTTGAAAAAAAAAGTTTATAAACAGGTCCTTCCCATATATATATATATATATATATATATATATATATATATATATATATAGCAATAGTTAATACAAAAAAAAGGTTTGGTGTTTGTCATTTTAAATGACATAAGTTATGTCATTTTAGAAAAGAGATAGACACAAAGAATGAAAATCATGGGGGAGAAAGTGAGTGGTTTTTTTTAATTTAAATTTTAAATGACAAATATTTTTTTGTGTTTATCTCTCTATTAAAATGACATAAGTTTATGTCATTTAAAATGACAAACACTTTTCCCTACAAAAATTATATCCTTTATTATTAAAATGGTATAAATATTAATTTTGTTTGATAAACAATAGAAATATTTAAATTGTTATTACTCGTTAAATCAAGAAATTGTCTATAACAAAAAAAAATAAATTATTGATAACTCCTATAAAACAATCACAGGCAAAGTAAACTGATAAATTTCCGATAGTCAGAGATATGTCTATTAAAATTAAGAAAATATGAGTCACTAACTTAATTTATTATTCACTTATTTAGTTTTAATGTTGTCCTTTTATTTCTAATCTTAATAAAAAAAAGTTTATAACACAAGATAAGTGAATTTCATAGCTTGGCTTGGATTCT